TGATACAGGTAGTCCTCGCTTAATGACTGTTTAGCAACCGTTCGAAGTTACGATGGCGCTAAAAAGTGACTTACAACCAGTGCCTGAAGTTCCAACCGTCTCAGCCCCCGCCCCCCACAGTCATGTGATTGCAATCCGGGCAGTTGCAGCAACCATGTGCAACCTTCCCAGTCAGTTTCTGGTAAGCAAAATCAATGGGGAACTGCATGATTCACTTAATGAACATGGTGATTCGCTTAACGACTGCTGCAAAAAAAGTCATAAAATTGGGTCTGGTCATGTGATGATTTGCTTAACAACCGCATCACTTAATGACCTAAATTCTGGTCCCAATTGTGGTTGTTAAGCAAAGACTACCTGTAAAGGACTTAGAAGTAATGTACCCAGGTATTTGAGGGGATGCTACGGTGCAATTGTATAGTGCTATTATGGGAATAATTTGTTATATGTGCCAGAATAGGGAAGGGTGTTTGGACTTTGTAGCTTCGATTAGCTGTGACCATTTTTTCTTCTGATCTTGGGTTTTTTTCTTTCTGAGCAAAGCCTTAGCTTGTCTTTTCTGCTCCTTTAAAATTTGAGTGAAATCTGGTGGGTTGGCAAGATTTGTCAAACTAGCTCTTAGAATGGCATCCCCTCCTGATCAAGTTGGTATTTGCCTTTGTTACAAAAGGTTGGAGCTTAGCTATGAGATCATAATATACATAAAATATTCTGTTGTCTTGTGGGACAGTTGGGTCTGAGTGTGCCCTAAACTTAGGGAGGGTTGAAAAGTATGCACTTCCTTCCTCTGAGTGAAACCATTGGGCTTTCCTATCTTCAAGGAAGCCATTCCATCTGACCCTATAAAAGCCACCTCCCTTCAGGCATTTTAAATGGTCCTTACCTTAATTCCTGTTCGGGCCTTGTCTAAATTTGCAAATGAAAGTTAGGGGAAGGTCACTTTCAGACCTAGGGACTATGCCAAAGTGCTTAAAGCAAGGGGCCAAGTCTCTAAAAATTATTAAATAATCTATGATGGATAACTTGTGGGCTGACCAAAATGAATATTGCCCAGGGAAATCATTTTAAACAGAACCATTTAATATTTGTAGGTTAAGCCTATTTATGAGATGTAGCAACCTTAAGCCAGCTAGGTTATATTTTGTATCTTTGAAAGATCTGGGCATAAATGGTGGTTCAATTCTTCGGGAAGACAGGAATTGAAATGTGCATAGAGAGCTTCATCATTACAAACAGCTCTTGCGCTGAAATCCCCAGCTATTAGGATATACAGTATGTACTGGTGGAACTTATTCAGGCAAAGAGTGAGGAAAGAATCAACCTGGTTCCAGGTTTGGGTGACCTGTGAATGGAGCTGCTGAGGAGGAAGATAGAAATCAATATACAGTAAGGAAAATTGGTCAAAGACTAGCAGAGCTGATACAGCATTCTCAAACTGGGGTAGATGTTTACAATTTGAACACATAATTTGGAAGCTATAAATAGATCAAGACCCCCTGAGGCTAGACTGCACAGGGTCTAGCAGAGAAAAGTAGTTGGGGATTGAAAATTCCCCCAACATCCATGTCTCCTGCAAAAAAATTATATCAAATTGGGACAGAAAACCAAGGAAATAAGGGTCTGCTTGCTTTGGGGCCCATCCAGCTATGTTCCAAAAGAGGACAGAGAGATTGTTAACAGAATGTAGTTGTCAATTTGCTGGTTCCCTTGGAGTGCTGTCTCTGGATAGTTGTTCAGAAGGAGCAACACTTGGGTTGGACAAATTGGTGACTGGGAGAGAAAATAGAGAGCAGACCTCCTGTTACCAATTAGGGTGGATGGTGCCCTGAATTTGGGGTAGTTCCATAGGAAATGTTTCATGAGCAGAGCAAATAAGGCCAGACTGAGTGTCAGAGTCAAAGGGTTGATCACGTTCAGGGCTCCTGTGGAGAGAATTCACTTTCAAGGAAGAATAGCAAGTTGTAGATGGAGCAGCCATTGGATGAGGAATCAGGATCCATACAGGGGAGAGCCACTGGTGATGGGGTTGTAGTTTGACTAGGCTGTTCTTTAGAGTCCAGTTGTAAGGGATTATCACGTGTGGGCTGATCATCTGGGAGGTTGCAGAAGGATTGTGATATGCTGAACGACCCTCTATCCTCTTTTCCAATATCCAAGGAGAGATCAAGTTCTCTTAAACCCTTTTTTCAGCCTTTCTAAGCCCACACATTTTGGTTGGTGGTGTGACCAACCTCTTCCCAGGTTTATGCAGGGCATAGAGGATGGTCTTGGAAGAAAGAATATAAGTCTTAACCAATTCTCAGCAAAGGGGGGTGAGTCAAGTGGCATCTCTTCCATAGGTGCAATCTAGTGAAGGGTTTCACTAAGCAGTGACTGAAAGTAGCATACCTTTCTCTCCTTTGGAACGGAGGAGGGAGGCACAGGCAGCTGGGGAGAGTTTCACTTGTGGAAATTGCATGCATGAAGTACCTCTTAAATTACAGCATCCAGCAATATGTCAATGATACCCTACACAGTTTGCTAGAAGGGATTCCATGCTTGGCATAATGAGATACTTGTTGAAACTGTCTTTCACTGATTTCTAAACTTTATGTCAATTATTTAATATCTTTTAGCTAAATTGCAGTTTGCAATCTTTCATATGTCAGATCTCGTTATTCTATTCAGAATGTCTCTGCTAAATCTTTTTCTTACTGCCAGGTTCCATGCCAGGCTTGAGTATTTTGCTATTTAAATTCTCCTCTTTTGACTAGTACCTTTATAACCTCTTTTTGTTCTGCTTAAATATATTTTAAACATTCTCCTTCCAGTAACTTTGGAATGTGGGGGCTGATTCAGCCCAGAACTCTCTCATGCTGTTAGGTACTATGAAATAGTACTGCCTTGAAAACATCTGGGTCAGTTAATAAAAATACTTCAATCTTCTCATCATAAGTGGAGTTTGTCAAACTAAAGAGTGGGTGTATTAGTGAAGTAGGGCTGATATTGACACTCTAGAAATAAGATGTACCAGTGAGATTCCCCAAGTGATTTGTTTCTCCCAAAACCTTAGAAAACATGGTCTTGCTCAGGCCTCAAATGAGATGCAATCTCGTTCTAATCTTGTGATGGCATTAGAAGTTGAGTATGGAATGTGCATTATTGTTCTTAAGAACTGTTTGATCCCTTCTGTGTAATGTTAACTTTATAGTATTTCTCCCTTTTTATATACATACTGTACATCCATACATATCTGGGGAAATAAGTTCAAAAGCATGGGGGCAGCTGCAGAAAAGTCCTGCTGCCTGGCCACACCCTACACACTCCTTGCATTACTTTTGTGTTCGTAATGTCTGGGTACATCACTGGTGCTAAATAAACAAACATTTATTTATTTATTTAGGGATGGTTTTAAGTATGTCTCTGTGTTACTTAATTCTTTTACATTTCTATTTAAAAGAATTTTAAGAATAATTCTGTGCCTCTGTTTAACTCTTAAATTCTTAAATTCCTTGCTGCTTTTTCATTTTTATTGTGTTATTTTAATAGATAAGTGGCCTATAAGTAATTCTAAGTAAATGAAATCATGATGGATACCATAAGCCTCTCCTCTTCTGAATTCTCCAGTGTAATAAGAGTTAGGAGGAGGAGCAAACCAATATTTTACCATAGGCCATTCATGGAGAAATTCAAAATTTTCAGAAATCATCAAAGCCCAGTGAGAAGGGCTTCTTCTGTGTTATTTTAATTTCCAAAGGACTTGTGGGGAAGGAACTTCCCCCTCATCTCAGTGACCCCCCCCCCC